TGGAGTGGGTTTCGTACTTGGGATTTTTGTTCCTGTAAGCCGCCCGGAGTCACCGTGAGTTGAGCTGGGCAGCCATATAAATCGCTTATATCAATAAATAAAGAAAATCCTCCCATTCTCTCCTCTTCATGGGGAAGCCTCGTTTTCAGTGCTGTGCGAGGGAGGTGCAAAATGAAATAGCCCCAACTGCAGCCTTATGCTCCCACCCCCAAGGCAAACGCCGGAGCGCATGGGACCCTTCAAACATTTCCCTTCTGCAATTACAAGATCCTTCACTTGCCTGAGTTTCTAAGACAGCAAATTTCTGTGCTTTATTGGTTAACAGGGGACAATAATGTTAATGTTAGCCATGTTGGGTAGGGAAAACAAATACTGACAGGCTGGTACTTCAGAAAGGAAACCGATGCGAACGGAAAACGTAGATGGCTGGACGTCGCCTGGACAGCCTTACCTAGCTGGGTGGACCCAACTTGGCAAGGTAACGGGGAAGGCACCATGACATTTGCTCTTCCGATTAAGATGTGGTCCCCATAAGCTTGGCAGATCAGGGGCAAGAGGCTCAGAGGGGCAGATTCTCGTGACGCCAAAAGCGAAATGCCTTCGTACCAAAGTCAGCCGCAGTCTGTGAACGGAAGCCCACTCTCTGCAACGTGCAGGAAGATGTAAGCTCTCCCACTCTGTGACTCTCCGGCTCTTTTGTGTTATATAAAGGGGCAGTACAAGGCCCTGAAGCCACCCCCTTAACACTGTGCCGTGTCCATGTCCGGGGTGGGGGCAGGTCACCAGGGGCGACAGACTCGCTTGCTGAATTCTAGGATGGCCTCCCGTGCCCAGCCTTGAGGGGTTGGCAGCGGTGGTCCCCTCTTCGCCGGATGGGTTCCGGCAGAGGCTGGACTGCCACGGGTTGGGGGTGCGCTGATTTGGACTCCTGCCCCTTCCAACTCAAGGGGTCTATGACGGAGAGAACATGAGCGCACCTATACAACGGAGCAGTTGCCTCGCAGGGACTCCAGAGGGGAAACGAGAGGCCTGGGCGCTTAAACACGGCCGCAGAATCTTCCGCTGGCTCTCCGGCAGCCCTGCCTGTTCCGTCGATCTTAGCTTGCTTGGGGAAACGGTTAAGCTAGTAGCTTGCTTTCACAAGAACTCATTATTCATTTCTATTTTTTCCCCCCCAAGATACTTCCAGGGCATTCAGTGGTGATTTACTCTCCCCCACAGTTATCAGAGCTAAGCAAATAATCTGTAGCAAATCAGGCATTTGTTGAAAATTTCACCCCTGTCTGTCGCAAGCCACGTTCCGGGAAAAAGAAAAGAAGAAATAACCCCACAAACTTGCTCATTACATGGAGCTATTTGCAAATTCCCTCCTGGCATGCAAAATTTGCTGGTGGAAGAATTTGCTACTGGAACCTTACAATTGATCCCTCCCGTCACCCCAAATTAGTTAAGTTGCCTCCACCACAGCCTCGCTGGCTGCAATTAGGAGAGCTGTAATGCGCACACAGTGCAAATTCAAATCTTTATCAACCCAAATGCATAACTGGGAGTCAACTCCTGCTCTTGGAAAAAGCGTAATGGGGAGACTCAAGTCGCGCATCTAACCACTTCCTGGCAAGGCGTGGGGGTCTGGTCTACGCAGCTCCTAATTCCTGCCAGATTTAAAGCTCCTCTAGAAGAGAGAGGGGGGGAGATCCTTCCAGCTTCACCTCTGCAGCCAGAGGCGGAGGTGACCTACAAGAGGGTAGCCCCCCCAGGCCTCCTGCCTCACCCCTTGATGCTTCTCCAACAGGCTTTTGTAGTTTTCTGTATTAGGGAATTTACGAGACGCCCTTCAGCATAAGCAGTTAAGAACGAAACAAATACGATCACGTCCGACAATAAAAGAACAAAAAAACATAAGAGTGTCCTCATTCAACAAGCCAAGCCAAGCCAAGCCAAGCCACGGGAAGCAATTAAAACCGGTTACTCAACTTATTCAAAGTGGCTGCAGAAGATGCCAATGAAGCAACTAAAAAAGCCCCCCCTGGTGGCAGAGAAAAATCATGCAAGAG